GCCCCCTGATGGTCAGCGCATGTCATAGTGAGTGATCGAACTCCCAGTCTCCCAGTTGAACTCCCGAGGGGACAATTTGCATATTAGCTTTTTATTATATAGGATATTGTGACATATTTATCCATTTCAGTTCTCTATTATATGTTTTGAAACTTGACTTGCTATTTTTTCATATCACTTCATATTTTTTTAAACAATTTCTTAGTGATTTCTTCCTCAGTACTTCAACTGTCTTTTTTTTTTTTTTTTATTTCATGGATGCCATGTTCTTTGGAAGCTTGTTTAGACCAAGTGAATGGCTTTTAGGCTCCCTCCACATGAATAGGAGCTCACTTTCTGAATAATAAGGATTATATGTCATGGGGGTGGGGGGCATCAGGATTTTAGAGGTGCTCAGGTGGGGCAGGGCCAAAACAAGGTTGGGAACCACTGGTCCAGCTGCCTCCTTCCAAGCTTCATGATCGAGGGTGCGGGCAGCACTGGCAGTGCGCACGCGGACATCGGGGCGTGAATCTACCAGAACAGGAGCTCATCCCCAGCTGTAGGCAGCCGGGGGTGGGGTGTGTGGAGAAGAAATGCCTAAGGAAGATGTCAGCCGTCTTTTCATCCCGCACCCACCACGCTGCCGGTGCTTGGCATTTAATAAATGCTTAAGAATGATCAATTACATAACCCAGCAGAGAGCCTTCCTTAGACATTTGTTCATCCCTCTTTTGACGACTCCCACCATATTGCTCATAAATCAGTCCTTTATTTTAACTTTTTAAAAATTGGTTTTAGAGAGGGAGGAAGGGGAGAGAGAGAAAAAGTGAGAGAGAAACATCATTGCTGTGAGAGAAACATTGATTGCTTGCCTCCCAGCATGAGCCCTGCAGTCTAAGTAGGTATGTGCCCGGCCTGGGAATCAAACCATGGACGTCCGGTGCAAGGATGCTGCTCCAACCAACCGAGCCACGGCCGGGGCGTTCCGTCCTGAGACAGTATTTCTGTGCAGACCTCGGAGATGTGGCCCTCACAGGTTGCGGGCAGGGGGTGGGAAATGGGCCGTGTCACTGACGCAGGATCCCCTCCCCGCCAAGTCATCTCTGATGGTTTAATTAAAATCAAAGTGTGACTGGCTTTGTCGGGCATGAACTGGTGGACATCAGATGTTCTACCGTCTGTGCTGTTCCCGAGTGGCCCCCGGAATGTCCTACGGCCCTTCTCTCACCAACGCGGAGAGTGTGACATCTGCCTCCTTTGTTTTCTAGTGGAAGACAACAGTCTCTCCCAGAAGAAGAAGGTCACGGTGGAGGATCTCTTCAGTAAGGAGTTCAAAGTTCACGACCCCGAGGCTAAGTGGATAAGCGGTGAGTCCTGCGTGCGGTGACGCTGTGAGCGTCACTTCCCCACGCCCGGCCACTTGCCAATGGCCTGGCCTTCCTGCTGCCCCTCTTGGTCTCTGTCTGACTGTAGAAGTGGCCCACCGCGCTCTGGCTGTGGCCATCCTGTTACTGTTCATGTGAGCGCCCCTTCCCCACGCCCGGCCACTTGCCGACGGCCTGGCCTTCCTCTTGGTCTCTGTCTGACTGTAGAAGTGGCCCCACCGCGCTCTGGCTGTGGCCATCCTGTTACTGTTCTAGGAAAATGTGTATCTGGTCAGTAGGGCTGCTCCCTCATGAGACACGGGTCCTCCGTGTGACCTCCGGGAGCCATCATTTCTCCCAGGGAGAGGTGAGATGTTGCTAAGCAACCAGCCTGGGAGGCACACAGCCAAACTTTCTTGCTTCCTCATGTTGTTATTCTCACTGTACCCGCCGGCTCCTGGACCGGGGGCCGAGGAGCTGAAAAGTCTCCAGAACGTCGCTGGATAGACGGACCAGGGTGCCCCGTGCACGGTTGCAGACAGACATTCCCCTCAACCTGGACATAATTTATTTTCTGGTTCACAGGGTTTTTTACAACAAAACAAAATAGATCAGAGGCAAAAGGGGGCTTGTTCCTGACAATGCAGGACTTGATGCATCTCCTCTCGCGGGGTCTGGGATGGGGGAGCCTTCAGGGAAGGGTGCCCCCGGCTGGCCAGCACCCGCTGCCCGCATCCCTCCCGCGCTGCTCTCTCCGTGGGCGCTGTGGGCGTTGAGTCCCAGCCTCAGCGGGTGCACTGGAAAGGTCACTGTCCAACGAGCCCCAGTGAAGACATAGCCTGTGTTGTGGTGGCAGCAGAGGGGCCAGGCCTCATGTGCGGCTGAGGACGGGTTACCTCGGATTCTGCAGGAGGCCGAGGGCCCGTGTTCCCCGCCCGGGCAGAGGCGGCCTGTAAGGGCTCTGGGCTGGTCCTGACAATGAAGGTGGTTGCTGTCTCTGTAGGGGTGCAGAGTCGGTTCTGGGACAAAACTGAGCCACCAAGGGCAACACCACCCAGAACGCACATAGGAGGAATAGGGTGGTCTCCTTCCCAGGAAGACGTGCATAAACTCGCACGCTGCGCCGCGAAGCTTCATGCTCAGTGAGCACCTTTAGAAGGAGGAGTCCTGCTCTGTCCGAGCCCTGAGGCAGGTGCATTTGGAACTGCTTTGGCCCCTGTGAATATAGTCAACCCGTCCAGCAGGCAGGCAGGGCTTCCCCACTGGGCGTGGGCCACACCTCCATTGCTGGCACTTACATCAGCCTGTGTGGATAGAAAGGCCTCAGCCCTGCTTCCTCTGGCCCGGAGCCGGCTCAGCCCTGGACAGGCGGCTCAGCCCTGGACAGGCAGCTCAGCCCTGGACAGATGGCTCAGCCCTGGACAGGCGGCTCAGCCCTGGACAGACACGGCACAGCCCTGGACAGGAGGCTCAGCCCTGGACAGACGGCTCAGCCCTGGACAGACAGCTCAGCCCTGGACCGGCTGCTCAGCCCTGGACCGGCGGCTCAGCCCTGGACAGACGGCTCAGCCCTGGATAGGCAGCTCAGCCTGGGAGAAGCAGAGGAGCTGGTGGACAGCACAGGCCTCTGCAGACCCGCCCGTGCCTGCCTCGGTCCCCTGCCCACAGGCTTTGTATGTCGCACAGAATGCGATTCAGGCTGCGTCCGCAGCTGCGGCCCCTGATGAAAGGCACAGCTGTGTTAGGTCAGCACGAAGGGCGTCTTCCGACCGGCTCAGACCCACAGCTCCTCTCAGGGGCCTTGTCTCTGGCCCTCACATTATTCCCCGATTCTGCCTCTTCACCAGTTTCCTTCCTTCCATCCTCTCATCCTTCCTCCCTTCCTTCCTTCAGCTCTGTCTTCCTTCTTTCCTTTCTTTATTCCTTCCTTTCTCTTACTCTTCCTCTCTCTCTTTTCTTCTTATTGGTTTTCCCCACAGGGTCCCAGCACAAACTCACATTTCAGTCTTACATGTTCTCAGGGGTCTGTTCTCTGCCTTCTAATTAGTAAACTCCTAGTCCTCCTTAAGTCTGCTCCTTCTCCTCCTCTTCTTCATTATCATCATCATTATCATCACTTCATATCATATCATCATCATATCATCACCATCTTCACCATCACCACTATCACCTCCATCATCACCCTTATCACCATCACCATCACCATCACCGCCTTCACCTCCATCATCATCACCCTCACCATCATCACCGCCTTCACCTCCATCATCATCACCATTATCACCATCACCATCACCGCCTTCACCTCCATCATCATCACCATCACCACTATCACCTCCATCATCACCCTTATCACCATCACCATCACCATCACCGCCTTCACCTCCATCATCATCACCATCACCATCATCACCTCCATTATCACCCTTATCACCACCTTCACCTCCATCATCACCACCATCATCATCTTTATCTTCATCACATCATCAAAACCACCACCACCACTACCATCATCTATAATAATAAAAGGGTTATATGCTAATTAGACCAAACATCTTCTGGACGTCATTCTGGACATCCTTCCTGATGAAGCTGGGGCCAGAGGGAAGCCAGCCCGGGTCCCAGGTGCCTGCAGGCAGCCGGAGGAGGGAAGCCAGCATGAGTCCCAGATGCCTGTGGGCAGCTGGAGGAGGGCAGCCCGGGTCCTGGATGCTGGAGGGCAGCCAGTGCCGGCAGATGGGGGAAGGAAGGCCTACTCTTGCATGAATTTTCATGCTTTGGGCCTCTAGTCATTACATAATCACCTACTGTGGGTTCCCATGTCTTATGCTATAGATAAAGAGCTTTACACATATTAAATCATTTAATTCTCATAATCACCATTATTCCCATTTTACAGATGAGGAAACTGAGGCTTAAAGTGTTTAAATAACTGGATCAGTATCACAAAGTTAACCAGTAGCAAAGTTTTGACTTGAACCTGGGTTTCACTGGGTTTTGTAAACTGTGCTACAATGGATAGAATTCAGGTCGCCTGTCTCCAGACAATTTCTTTCATAACCTCACCAGCTACATTGTGTGTTTAAACAAGACCATAGGTTTTGAATATTTTAGAATTATTTCCATCCCCTAAGTTCTTTATTTTAGCATCCCTTATTTCCATGATGCCTGTGTTGAACTAAAAAAATACATGAGGAAGAAAACTGGTATAATTTCCCACAAATAGCTTTTCCTTTTTATAGTGTACATTAACCACTAAGGTCATCGATGTGTCTGGGGTTTAAAGTGGAGTTAATAGTCTAAAACTAATGCACGTGGTTAGTCAGGAGGACCTGCATTCACTGGGTTCAAGGTACACTTCTCCTCACCCATCTTTCTACTAGAGACTTGATTTTTTAATCCTACCTTTTCAGAAAGTGATTGACACAACAGCCTTCAATTCTCTCATACACTGAAGGCCTGCAGACTTTCCTCGGGCACATGTGGCTCCTCTGGGCGAGAGACCGAGGTGTGAAGAGCAATAGAGCTGAGGCCACGGAAGGTCCGCCCTGAGCTCCCTCTCACGAAGGTAGAGGCCTACACCTGGAAAAATGTAGACCTCTCCTCTCTCCCAGCCTCCATGCTTCTTCCCTTCCTCCTGTCCAGCTGGCCCGGCCAGAAGAAAGCATCCAATACCCCACGGTCACATCCGCCTGCCTGCAGGCCCACACCTGCCTGCAGTGCCCACACCTGCCTGCAGCTCCCACTCCTGCCTGCAGCTCCCACTCCGGCCTGCAGTGCCCACACCTGCCTGCAGCTCCCACTCCTGCCTGCAGCTCCCACTCCGGCCTGCAGTGCCCACACCTGCCTGCAGCTCCCACTCCTGCCTGCAGCTCCCACTCCGGCCTGCAGTGCCCACACCTGCCTGCAGCTCCCACTCCTGCCTGCAGCTCCCACTCCGGCCTGCAGTGCCCACACCTGCCTGCAGCTCCCACTCCTGCCTGCAGCTCCCACTCCGGCCTGCAGTGCCCACACCTGCCTGCAGCTCCCACTCCTGCCTGCAGCTCCCACTCCGGCCTGCAGTGCCCACACCTGCCTGCAGCTCCCACTCCTGCCTGCAGCTCCCACTCCGGCCTGCAGTGCCCACACCTGCCTGCAGCTCCCACTCCTGCCTGCAGCTCCCACTCCGGCCTGCAGTGCCCACACCTGCCTGCAGCTCCCACTCCTGCCTGCAGCTCCCACTCCGGCCTGCAGTGCCCACACCTGCCTGCAGCTCCCACTCCTGCCTGCAGCTCCCACTCCGGCCTGCAGTGCCCACACCTGCCTGCAGCTCCCACTCCTGCCTGCAGCTCCCACTCCGGCCTGCAGTGCCCACACCTGCCTGCAGCTCCCACTCCTGCCTGCAGCTCCCACTCCGGCCTGCAGTGCCCACACCTGCCTGCAGCTCCCACTCCTGCCTGCAGCTCCCACTCCGGCCTGCAGTGCCCACACCTGCCTGCAGCTCCCACTCCTGCCTGCAGCTCCCACTCCGGCCTGCAGTGCCCACACCTGCCTGCAGCTCCCACTCCTGCCTGCAGCTCCCACTCCGGCCTGCAGTGCCCACACCTGCCTGCAGCTCCCACTCCTGCCTGCAGCTCCCACTCCGGCCTGCAGTGCCCACACCTGCCTGCAGCTCCCACTCCTGCCTGCAGCTCCCACTCCGGCCTGCAGTGCCCACACCTGCCTGCAGCTCCCACTCCTGCCTGCAGCTCCCACTCCGGCCTGCAGTGCCCACACCTGCCTGCAGCTCCCACTCCTGCCTGCAGCTCCCACTCCGGCCTGCAGTGCCCACACCTGCCTGCAGCTCCCACTCCTGCCTGCAGCTCCCACTCCGGCCTGCAGTGCCCACACCTGCCTGCAGCTCCCACTCCTGCCTGCAGCTCCCACTCCGGCCTGCAGTGCCCACACCTGCCTGCAGCTCCCACTCCTGCCTGCAGCTCCCACTCCGGCCTGCAGTGCCCACACCTGCCTGCAGCTCCCACTCCTGC